TTTTTTTTTTTTGGATAAAATTTGCCTATGAATAAACAGGCCCATAGGGTGAGATTTTTGCTTTGTAATTTGAAGTAGGGTATTCTGAAATAAAGGTCGACCAATCAGAGCCGTTAATCAGATCATCACCTGTTCTCTATGTTTTGGCAGAAGAAGGTCAAAGTGTTCGACTAAATATATAGAAGAACAAATCAGCTGCTATTATTGAAGACCCAATTGAAGTTCGATGCTGAGATAAGCTCAATGCGAAAAAAGTGAGGCCAGAGGCAGAGGATATTGTCAATTTTACAAGAAAATAAAATTCCCAGAAAATAATGGCCTCACACACCCTAGCATGACCCCGGAGAGCATGTATGGTGGGAGATGTCTGAGCTTCTTTCTTGTAAGGTGATGAGATTATGTTTCTTCTCGTGTGTGTGTTTGTGGGGCTGAATTCCACACCTGTGTACAGAAAAGGTTGAAACTTCTGCTTTCATTTCTCAAAGATCAAAATACCAGAATGACAACTATATTGTCTGATAGGAAAAATTTGAAGCCCCAGAAAACCAAGATAGAAGATCATCCATTTTTCAGGTTTTAAAGGGAGCTCAGCTTACCTGCAGATATCAATCCAACTCTTAACCAATCTAATGGCAGGATAAAAAGGAACCCAAAAAAAAAAAAAAAAGGAGGAAGAAGAGTAACTCATCCATAAAGGATTTACCTAACCAAATTTTGGTAAAAAGATTAAACACAAGTGCAGTTAATAACCCTTTACTAAATAAAATTCATAATTTCTTGGAAGTATATAAACAGATGCAATTAATGGTTCATACTCAATGACATAATTGGCATTCATATAGCTGATGGTGCAAAACTTGAGCAGAAAATGTTGATTGCTGATTGCTTTTGAAGGGAACCACAATTGACTAGATTTTGATTTCACAATTGACTAGATTTTGATTTCACAATTTCGTTACACAAGACACGGTAATCCAGAAAAGACACTCTTCATACATAACCTGAACCCTAGGTTCTCTCCTAGAACTACAAAACTGCTGGCTGCTTTTTCTTAAGTATATATCTGAAACAGCGAAAAAAACAGGTAAAAATGCATTTTTCTCACTGGAAATAATGGTAATTAAATGTGAAAGTGGTGTGTACATTCAATTCAATTGCCTTCTAACAAGCTCTTCAACCTGCTTCTGGCCTCATCAGAGAGATTGCAGCACCTGAACCTTCGCCGTTGGGGAGGACATGATTCAGTACGACTTGGGGAAGAGAAACAAATGACAATCGCAGTAAGATTATCTGATGAATTCAGGCGTGATGCTTCCTTGACTAGTTCTCTGGCACATTCTTGTGGGTCATCATGACGCCTTAGGCCACGACGAACAAGGCTGACCGCAATCTGACTTGACATTACATCCCAGATCCCATCACAACCAATGATTAGAAATTCATCATCTTCTGTCAACACAATCTGTCTAACATCAGGATCTGAAATTAGAGGGGTTAGAGGGAATTTCAAGTCCCAGTCTCCAAGAGCTCGTGTGACTGAGAGGCCATTAAGATAACCGTCAATGTCAATGAAACCACCTAATTCCTCAACCCTTCTGCGCTCTGGTGAGTAAGTAGGTCTATGATCCTGAGTCATGTCAACAGCAAGTCCTTTTCTACACAGAACAGCTCTGCAATCACCAGCATTTGCAATCAGCAGATGCTTTCCAAGTACCAGAGCAGTCAGAACTGTTGTCCCACATGAGCCACTAATACCGCTTTCAGCAGCCAAGGCACGATCAGCTAGTAAAAAGGCCTTCTTGTGAGAATTCTCCAACTCTTTCAACAAACCAGCATCAATATCAGATATTTCAGGCAATTCAGCATCTTCAAAAAATAATCTCATAGCATTCCTTTTGATATAAGCTGCTGCATCAGGGCCATTATGACCATCAAAAACAGCATAGAAAGCACTTGGCATAGAACATTTCAGGAGAGAGCCCAGGTGACCAGATAAATCATCAATTCTAATGTGCTCATCTTCCATTGTGCTCCTCGTACCAATATCAGCACAGCTGCCAGAACGAATTCTTGGGACAAACTTGACAGCAGATGACTCAAGGACAGCATCCTTAATAGTCTCAGAGCAAGCAACAACCTGCAGAAACAAGGAGGAAAGGGTAAGTCCAAATTCAAAAACATCTAAAAATCAAGTAATTAACAGTACATCAAAATAACATGAAAAACTTTGCTGCACAGATGGCAAGATTGTTATTTCAATAACATCGATCCCAGTTCAAAAAAATTACCAAGCAGAACTTTTTTCCCCTTTAAACAGCTAAAAATCAACTGCAAACATATCAAAACAACTTAAAACAATTTCGCTGCACTACTACCAAGGATCTGATCTTGTTAAATATGTTAACAATAGCCAAGTAGCATACAGCTATGGTTTCAGAAACCCAATAGCATAACTCACCCAGTAACTAAAATACTCCATCAAGTATTTAACTCGAATTTAGAGCTCAAAGGATATAACAGCTTATGGTCCACCATCAAAACGTAAAGGAGGTTAAGCAAAAACTTCAAGAACAAATCACAATTTTACAACCCCATAAAGAGAAATTAATTTCTCCAAACAAAGAATCAAAAGAAAGACATCTAATCATCCAAAAAAACTTTCACAACATAAAAAAACAAACCCTAATTTCACAATGAATAACCCATCCACCAAAAAAAAAAAAAAAAAAGTTTCCCCAGCAAATTCACGCTGAAATTCATAGAAAAAATACCGGATTAAATCCAAAAATCAGTGAAGAACAAAAGACGCACCGATTCGAAACAGGAAATCTCAGTGGAAATCGAATCCGTAACCTGAAAACACATAATCTCCGCGTCTGCTACCATCTTTGGACTCACGATCATCCCTCCAAAACCCAAAAAAACAGTCGTCGATTCGCTTCTCGACCTCAAATCTAATTTCTTTCTCTGCTTCTTTAAGGTTGCTCAAGAACCAGAAGAATCCGCCAATTCGATTCGATTCTATGGGGTTGCGTAAAACGGTGTTAGGCTGTGTTGTGTGAACCAAAACACAAAGGTAAGCTGATATATATTTCATAAAGAGTTTTTAGATTTGGTTTCAGAGGCATACAATAATAACAGTACGATTAACCGGTTACACGGCATCTAAGTTACTGACACGTGGAGGTGGGCGCTGACGTGGACTATCAGTTGGGCACCTTTTCTTTTGCAAACTCCTGAAAACGGAACGGACCCAACTTTTCAAGGAAAAAACTGCTTATGGCATGTTTGATTCACCTTCCGATGCAAGGATTTTAATTTTTTTAATATTATTTATATTTTATAAATTTAAAATTTTTTAAAAAAATATTTATATTTTTTTAATTTTTTTAATCTTAAAAAAATTTTAAACAATAAATTTTAAAAATGTTCAAATTTTTATTTGTTGAAAAATTTTTTTATTTACTTTTTATTCTTTCTAAATGTAATTTTTAAATTTTTCTTTCATTAAAAATTTAAACTTATAAAACATGAATAGTGTTAAAAAAATTGAAATATTTACAAGTTTAACTAAACACGCTCTAAGTATTAGTGCGCAGCATTTCTAAGTTCTAACCAATCAATAAATTAGGACAATATTTTTTTTATGTATTTTATTTCTTATTTTTTGTTATAATTTTTTAAAAAAAGAACAGTAAAAGAGATATAATTTTTTATATTATTTTTTATATAATTTTCACATATCATTAAATGAGTGGATGTGTTTAATATCATAGATTTCAAATAAATAAATAAAATTAATCATTTAAATAACATTTAAAATTATAAAAAAAAATTATCTTTAAAGCATTTTCCTTTTCAAAAAAAGGGAAAGATATTTTTATTTCTTCAACTGAATATTTTAAACCTGAAAAAACGTAAAAAAGCTTTCATTTTTATGTTAGAAATAAAAAAATTTATGCATTGGTAACTTATTTGAATAGTTTTTTTTTAATTAAAATAAAATATTAAAATTAATAATATGATCTTTTAGATAGGTTAAGATTTTGGTGAAGGGAAAATTATTTATCATGATAAGTCTCCGGAAACTTGTTTGAGTGATTATGTGAAGCCACCGAAATTATTTTAGTTAAAGTATTTTAGTGGGATGATGTGTGATACTAAAGTATATCTTTTAAGTAATCTTTTGTTTGAGTGGGTATAGTGAGATCCCAAAATTTCCAAGGCCAATAACTACAATTCTCTAATCATGACATTAATTATTATTTTTTTTTTTTTTGTAAATAATAGATAGGGTGAGAGGATATTAGTGTAGTTTAAAAATAATACTTAGTATTTTTTTTTATAATGACAATGATTAGTAGGTTAGTATTATATATCAGATATTAGCAATTAGGGATTCGATTCTCAAATATGGTGAACAGTCCACCGACTTCAATGAGACGCGCGGCCATCGGGTTGTTTGGTGGAGTTCATAATACTTAGTATTTGTTTGAGTATAAACTGTTGGAAAAATCACAACTTTAATATCACTATTGGAAGTATATCTTAAGGGAGTTTAAAAATAAGTAAATTTAAACCCCAAAACACTACATTATCTATCTCCTAACACACAAAAAATTCAAAGCCTAATATTTCAATGACATCTTAAAAATTAAAATATTAACTTATTACGTTCATAATTATAAGTCTTTACATCTATATTTAAATTATTCTTATTTTATTATATGTCCTAATATATGAAACTTCATAATCACACCATCTATATATAAAGACTACCAACAACAAGAGTTGAAGTACGCATACCAATCACGACTTTTATTTCACAAGACCTTGATTAAAAAAAGAAAGTCATTTTTTTGGTGGGTAATTAAAATACTAAAATTTGTTTACTTATTTTAATCATATGATTTGTAGATTAATTACGACTATATTATTCTAAAGTAATTGATAGCTACTGGCTTACACGGGATTCATCATATGGTCAGAGTTAAGTATACGTGTTTTGGTGAGAATCATTCAAGAACTACCAGTGGATTCCAATCAGATATCTCTCCCCCACATAAATTAATTGTACGTAAGAAGCTCATTTAAGAGTTAGGAACACCGACATACACAAATAATACATTATTGAAAAGTCTCTAGATTTTCAGCACACGGCAGGCGTGAAAAATATGAACACCTATATCTCTAAAAAAATACCCAAAGTTCCATATTTGTATTTTACATATTATTCTTTTACCATTAATATTTTTTATAATTTTCATTTTCAATTAATATTCTCTATAATTTAAATTTTTAAAAAATCTCAAATTATCAATAAAATTAAAGTACAAATAAGGAGTTTGACTATTGATTTTTAAATTTGTTTATAAATTTTAAATTATAAAAAATGTTGATTAAAATATAAATTTTTAAAAGTATTAATCGTAAAAAAATAATATACAAGATGTATATAAAAAGTTTGATCCAAAAATATGAGTGTAGTTATAGTCATACACCATAATATTAAGATTATAGTTTTAATTTATTTAATTGTTAAAAATAAGTAATAATTAATAAAATAATTAATATTTATCATTTAATAACTTATAATTAATTTATAAATTAATATTTTATATATTATAATTGATTATTAAAAAAAGTAAAAATTAATAAAATTTCAATTAAATTAAATAATATTTATCCGATTTTAACAAAATAATGTATCAACATAACTCCACCCAAAAATATCTGCGGCGTGTAAGTTCAAATTCAATGATATTTTTTTAATATCCACTGGTTTATAAAGTGACAGAAGCTGACGTCTTTCCAATTACTGCCTAATCCACTCAACATTGAATGGTGAATCAGCATGCAGCATCTTTTTTTAGTGGACTTGAGACGTGTGCAAGAAGTCAACCTGTTGGGAGATGGGCATGATCATAAAACCGAGAAAGAGTAAGGTCAACTCGCTTTATTCATAAATGCACCAGCACCAGCACCACACCAACTTTCACTTCAATTTGACATGAAATGTTTTGGGTACGGGTGGAATTTCATCAAGAATATAATCAATGCATTGAAAGAAGTTCCCGATCACTACCATTGAACTGTTGGTTTGAAGAAATAGATGAATTTAATTCAGGAATAAATATACTCCTTTAAAATCTCACTCCTACATGACTCCATTCTCGATTGTATTAAGTGTATTTAAACATGAATTCAAATTAATTTAATTAAAGATGAAATAACTCATCTTATACTTAAAACACACATTTCTTTTTATTATTTTGATGAGAAATTTGTTCTACTAATTAATGACACCCTTTCATCTGTAAGATTAGCATGAATCAATTTCTGAATGTATGATAGAATTCCTTCCATTGGGTAAGGTGATAAGCAAGCCAGCCTATTTAGATATTTGGTTGCAAAGAAGAATTATACTGCCCAAATCTTAGAATGTACACCAAAGCTTGGATTAACGTGAACCTCTGTCCTCAACCAAATTAGCTAAACTTCTTGGCCTCCTTGTATGAATGGTGCGTACTGCACTATTACCGCTCGATAGATATTAACAGAAATTCTTTTCAAAAAATTCTTCCACAAGAGCACGTGCAAGTGACGTGAAAATTGCTCATTTTCTACTACTTAAAATGGTAGATTGGTTTCGTCAAAGTAGTTGAGATTTTTATACCACAATTTGATTCAATAATTCTCAATTCAATAGAATTATATAAAAATGTGAAATAGGACTTTGCTAGTATGTTCAACAATGTCAAAGAATAGAAGCTCTGCCCTCTGATGTCATAACTTTCAAACAGGAGGGGCAATTTAAGGCAAAACTTTAGAACTGATATATAGATGCAAACATTGAATTAATGTTAATGGAAGTACCGTAAATAATTCTCTATTGCCACTGACTTCCTAAATTAGCGGGTGCTGCTCCCAAAAGTTGAACTCAGTGTTGGCAATGTTGAGAAGATCATGAGTAACCTCCTTTTGGTATGGCTTCAATGCGGCCATCCGCAATTGGTGAATATGGTTTTGTGACTTTCTTCTTCAGCATATCCTGATTTACATAAAAGCATTGAATTAATAGTAAGGCATGCTTATGAACAGTTCAATTGAATGTGTGTCGCATGCATTTGTAGATATGATACCCCAATTGACAGTGAGAAATGACAGGCCAGCAAGTCACCAATTTTTTGTGAGCTAAAACCAATAATCTATTACTTCACCCTCATCTTTGGGTGATCTACTCAACCCAAGTAACAAGATATGGTGCAGCCAGCAAAGGTGTCAATACTCTGATCTCCATGCATGTGCATACGTAAAGTGTACAACTCAACTGACCTTTGAAGCGTTTTGCCCAAATGTCTGCATTGCCTGTATGATTGAAGAGTGAATATCAAGAGCCTGACGGGTATCACGGCTACATTTAATAACACGGACTTGTTCCTTCATTTCTGTTGGTCTAATATTTAAATAAAGTATAAGCCGTGAAGGTGGAGCTTTTGGCTGGTCTTTCTTTCCATGAGTCAAATCAATTGTTGCTAGATTATCCCATGTTACATCCCACAATACTGAACATGGATCCCTTGCAGGGTTAAACTTCCTGTGAGTAATGTTGGATGTTTGCTGAAAATGAGAAAAAGAATACAATTTGATCCATTTAGTTTGGGTGGGTATTGTGTGCAAACAAGGGAACAGAATCCAAACCAGAAAACTTCAACTTACCTGCAACAATATAACTCTTCTATGAGTGACCATTAGGGTTTTTCCTTTGGGGAGTACAAAGTGACCTTCATAGGCATCTGATAAGGCAAATTTTGCACGTACTTTGAATAGATCCACCTGACCAAAGAAAGAACCACATTCTGCCAACTGCAATATAACCTTCAAGATAACCGCAAAGCAAAAAGGTTATCAGCTCTGCTTCTAACTTAATCAGGTGATCTTCAATACCAAATCTTCAAGCAAAAAAATAGGAGGCAGACAGGCAAATAAATATGCAAGAGAATTAAGCCAGGTATAAGCTTTGTTGCCAAAGACTTGCTCCAATTCAAGCCAGAAAGTAAACAGGCTTGGCCTAGACTAAAATTGAACTCAAAGTGAGCCAAATCAAACTCAAGCTCAAATTGCTTTTTAAGGACTGTTCATTTGCATCCCTAGAACAAACTTAAAGGAAAAATGGGCCTCATTCCTTGCTGTGTATTTCAAGGAAAATGTATTAGATCAATGTTGCAAACTTTTTGAAACCAACAGTTATGGGCAACTTCATAAAGCCCATCATAATTCTTGCAGCAAAAAAGTATTATACTGGATTAGAGTTAACTTTGAAGAAGCATCATTTACAGAGAAAGTAGGAAAAGGACAAAAAAGAACTAGTACCTGTCCTTGTGCTTTGTAGTCGTCATAAGGACGGAGCAAATTATCACCACTAATTACACGAGGCAATCTCCTGCGAAGAAGCTGTTCATCTGAAGCTATAGCAGATACTATCTTCATTCTCATAGCATTTGCACCTTCAGTAGTTTTTGACAAAAGATCCAGGACCCCACTAACAGGTTGGGCAGCTGCCCCTATGATTCCTTTCCCAACACCCTGAACAAAGCCCTCAACACCAGAAGATTTTGCACCTTCAAGAGGCTTAGTTAGTATGCCAGTTACTCCTCTGAACAGGCCTTTGGCTAGTGCTCCACCCCCTTCCCTAATAATGCCACTAAAGTTTTCCACTCCCTTGTTCTCCTGCCAGACAAATTGACTGAAAAGGTAAAAATGTGAATGTTCCAAGATGGTTAGCCGCAAAGAGCCAACTGAATAATATGCACTGATAGTTCTCTTCCACAATGATTGGGTTAAAAAAAAAAAAAAAAAAAAAAAAAAAAGAAGAAAAAGAAAGGAGACAATTATATGATAGAGAAACATAGCATATCAAATACTGTATAGCTTTCTGAAGCCATACATAGAACCATGGAACATACGATAAATAAATTGCAATTTCACACGATCAAAATTCAGAAGATCTAACCAGTCACTGTTCCCAGGAAAAAAAAAAGATCTAACCAGTCAAGTTAAGTACTAGTATCAATACAAGCTCCTCTAAAGAATATAATTTGTATGCAATGATATATAACAGTGAATGACCAAAACTTAAGCTCGTAAGGAACCTGTCTCTGCCGGCTTTGAATGAACTTCTTATCCATTGACAAGGCAGCAACACCTTTGCTCATATGCCCAAGTGCACTGCTTGCATTGCCTAATATATCAACACCCAAAAGCAGTTGCAGTGGCTGGCCAAGAAGATCCTTTTTGATGTTTGAAATGGCATTACTGATCATAGTACTCTGCCTCATGCAAACATTCTCATGAAATCTTTGATTTATCCTGACCTGTCATTCAGCATTTCAATTATATTCCACAGTGTAAATGATAGCCTAAGAGAAATTTTTAAGTAGTAGGCTAATTCAGCATTTTGAACAGCATTTGAGTCCCTATAAAGACCCTATAGGATATTTGGGTCCCTAATAAATAGCAGATAAAACAATTAAGTTCAACAATTCAGCACAATCAAATGTGTAGGGAAGACTTGATAAACAGAATCTTTCTTCTCAATTATATAAGAGAGGACGATGAATCAAGCATGAAGTATCTCAGAAAACGAAAAATGTTTTGAAGACTCAATTTGTAAGCTTAATTATAGGATATAGCATTTATGGTAGTAGGATTTCAACCACTGTTATAATTGCAACAACCAAGTTAAATACAGCTCACCATCAACATGAGCGCTGGTTGAAGGTTGAAAACTTTAGGGTTTTTTAATTTTTCTCCCTTTTTTTTTTTTTTTTTGCCTGCAGAAAACCTTGGTCAAACTCGGCAATTTTTTAATTCAATAAACAAACATATTTCCTCTCTGCATACACTTTTTGCTTCCAAATATTTATACAGATAAGCATGCAGTCCCAGTCAGAGCATTGGCAAGTGAAGTATTTTAAGGATTTCAGAAACAAGCAAATGAATGCTGATAAATCATAAAGACTTACTGGCATGTTTTCAGTGTTTCCCAGAGCAGTCATTAATGATGACCAAAAACCAAGCACTCCTCTTGGTCTTTGACTAGGTGACATAGCCATTGACACTTTGAGTCGAACCTCTGAGATGTTGAGAACACTGCATTTAAAGGCAATATAATGATCAATGTTCAAACAGTAGAATGCAGAGCAAAACTATAAGTCAATATCAATTTCAACAAAAGTTCTTGCATACCCAATTTGAATGATGGGATCAACTGAAACAGCAGTTGTATTAGTATCATATAACCTACTTAGGTTGACCTGCTGGATCATCTCATGAATGCGCCAAATAATAGGTTCATGAATATTTATCAAAAAGGCTGAATTTTCAGGCCCCTACCAAAATCAAGTTGAATAAATATAACTTAGCATCAGAATTGAAAATAACAAATAAACAATTCTTTAAAGCAAATAGAACTTCAACTTCTTACTTGGAAACCTATGTATGGATAAACACAAAGATCAAGTGACCCATTGGTCTGCAAAGTCACAGAAAATTTCAACATATAATCAGTTTCCTCAGTTCTCTGCGGCCTAAAGAGAACTGGCATTGGAGTTAATGGCAACTGGTTATCTACTTGAATCCCACGCATTGTTAATTCGAACCTGTTACAGAAAAATAAAAGGAAAGAAAAAGGAATTAGAGAAGTTACTTCACGAGATCACTTCAGATCATTAGGGACCACAAACGAGGTAAACACAAGCAACTATATTCTAGGTCACTTAACAGCCTAACTAACCAATGCACATGATTCTCTGGAGATTACTGTGCCTAAATAATGTGTTCTGTATCTGAGCCTTCCAATTCAGAAACTCAGTGCATTATTGGGTAAAAATGTGTGGTCCCCTAAGATTTACAGGGCGTAAGCTCAATGCTGAAGGTGGAAGTACAGCAATTTATTGTCAATGCTTTATAACTTTATCATAATTCAGAAAATAATAATAATAATAACAACAACAGAAATAAAAATGGAAAAATTAATACAGTTAAAGGTAGTAGATGCCATTTATCAATCAGTAAATTCCTTTTCCCAAAGGGGGATCAATTTCTTTTTTCTTGGAAACAATCTGTATCTCAGGATAGTGTTAGGATTTACAAATTGTATCTCTCCTCTTGATCATCAGATTGTGAGACATGCATTGAAGTATATGTTAGCAAGAAAAGAGTATTAAATCCAAGAAATGATTTTTTTGGAAGTGAAGAATGTAATGTAAGTAGAATATACCGACTAATCCCAGAGCCCAGGCCAGTTGAAGATGCCAAGAGAAGACTTTGCACGGATAGATACAGTATCTCCTCAGGAGTATGGTCAATGATGGATACACCAAGCTCAGCAAGCTCAACATCAACATGAAACTCAGATTCTAATGCATTTTTTGATTGTTGAATATGAGGCTTATTTCCTTGAAACTCTGACAATGATGACGATGTTCTTTGGTTCAAAAGTGCTGGTGGCTCATTTTCAGGCAACAAGTCTCTAATTTTAACAACATTTGCTTTCTCTTCTTTTAGGACAGTAACACGCAGAGCTCTGGAATGTCCACCCGTTGCATTGAAGGACTGGTTATCGCTGATCTTATCAATATCATACTTCTCTGACCTTGATGTGTCAGCCCCATCCACAAGGACTTCCAACAGATGTCGTCTGCCAAGATCTTCCCACAAGAAAGAAACAGCAGTATTAGGAAGAACAAGCTGCCATGAATCACTAGTACCATCTACTTGCCGACAGCGAAGTGGTAGAAACATGGAATGATTCTCAATCCTGTTTTCAGAAAGATAATGTTACTGCTGGTTGAAGAAATAAGGGAAGGAAAAGCAGAAATAAATAAATGCACAAAAAAGGATAGGAGATGCAAAAGAGAACAAAAGAAACTGTCAATTAGCTTTACTGCATAGAAACTTATATTTTTCTTGAATACAAACTGTTTCACTAAATTTTATGAAGTCTTCATACTTCTTATATACTGATGATAACTCTCAGACTAAAAAAAAAGAAAAAAGAAAAGAAGGGCTGATGATGCACTGCAGCAGACTGGACCAGAACCAATAGAAAAGTCACTACAGATATAATAAATTAAAACCATCTCTATTTTTCCCACACAAACGTCTTCAGTTATCACCAACCAAACCAACAACAAAAAGATTGGAAAAGCTAACAATGTAACCTGTAAGGACTTGATGAGGAATTTCGACGGAAAATAACTTCATAGCGTGAACCTTTTGTTCCACTTCTAACTTGTACTCTGATCAGCAAAGGTTCACCTCCAGTATCTCTTTTTAATGAAATGCGCATCATGCCTTCACTAGAAACACTAAACGGTATGCTCCACCTATATCCATCCACCCACAACTAAAACAGAAAACATACTCACCATCAAATTGAATTCAGTAAAATAAAAATATATGCCGAGACACAAATTCAGTCACTGATAAATATGTGTGGGTGTGTGCATGCGTAGCTTATTTACACAAACCTTCAACAGTTCAACTTTGCCAGAACCCCATCCAAAGAGTTTAGGAGGAGAAGTAGGATGGATCCATTCAACTGACTGTGAATCACACTGCTGCAAGCAGATACTGATGCCAACTCTGTTAATAAATAAGGTGTGCGGCTGAAGATGAATGACCTGAATGTCAACAATTTCAGAGTAACTAATTACTGATTAATATTAATAATCTAGAAGAACATGTAAGCATATCTTATATTCTTATGCAGTTACAAGCACAATTTCTGACATCCAGACTTAACTAAGGTGTCCAGTATAAGACAGCAGTGAAATACACTTGAAGTATTTTCTTTCATGTTCAATTTTAGTGCAGGCTGAACTGGTCAGCAATCTTTGTGCAGACGCAGCAGAATAAAGGAAATCTTTAAAGTGTGCAAGCAAGGAAATTTACATAGAATGGCCATTTTTCACGATAATAATCAGGAAATAACTTTGTGCAGGAGCAGAAGAGTAAAGAAGATCTTAAAGGTACCACCAAGGCAATTTGCTTAGTGTCATTCTTTTACGGTAAGAATCAGAAAATATCAGCAAATGAAGCTAATTCTCTCATATCATGATACAAACATCTAAGTTATGCTTCCTGGTGATTAAGCTTATGCTTAAGAAAGTAACCCTTAAAACATAAAGCACAGAAAATATGAAATATTAGGACATTCTCCATAGATCACAATAAATAGCCAAAGGTCATAATGCTGGCTTTACCATTATAATCTTATCATAGGAAAAATGGAAGCAACCAGTCCAATAATCAAAGTAACCACAAACTTTCTAAGACAATAGTTTTTGACCTTTGTTCTATCTGAGGTCATGTTAAGTACAGCTGAAAGCTTGTAGTAAGATCCATCTGAATTAAATGCCTTTACATCAACACGTTCCTGTAGATTATATTTGAATAAGCATCAGAAATTATGATATAGGCACAAATAATGAAATGAAGCAGTACTCCCTTCTGCCCAACCGAAATAAGGGAATGGATATGAGTCATTATATGCATGCAGATGCAGGCTATCTATTAAGTATTAACTAATCACCTTCTTTTCCATCTCCAAGAGAGAAATCCCAGGACTGTAAATTTCAGAATTATGAATAGCAACTGCAATGCCAACTTGTGGAGAAACATAAGTATCCTTCTGTGATGGAAACAGTGCAACACCACGACGACCTACAGAGTCTTGTGGGGAAAGCATGCTGGGCATAGGACTAATGTCCTCAATTACTTCAACTACTTGGATGTTTCTCCTTAGACCTGAATATTTCCTGTCCATTGAGTGCGTGGAAGTTCTCAAGATTGTTTTTGCAGACTTAAATGATCTAGATAGAGAGCTGGATTCAACTTCTGTATTATCTGTGGCATCAATTTCCACCAATTGATATGCTAAAGGCAACGACGAATCATTAATTATCCAATATGGAACAAAAAACCTTATTATCTTGGGTGCAGCACTGGTTTCTCCCATATCTCGTTCAATCCTCACACACAATCTCCTGTAGAACCCATGTGTATGCAAGGGAAATAAAACAATAACCATCACTCACAACACAAAACTAAAATGACAGAATAAACCTTTTCATCCATATAGGATATTCCCAGCAAGACCAAACAGATTATTAGTCATTAATTCAGTTTGCTACATAATTGCAAAATGTCAGATCAAACTAAATGAATATAAGGACCACAACTAATTTTTTCTCCATTTAATTTTTTGGATATATTGACAATGATATGGAACATTGAGGAGCAAAATTTAAAACTCAGCTTAGGGTTCTCTATACATAAATCTTCAAGGGGAAGAGTACAAGAGAGATAATGTATAATTTCTCACCATATATACTCTACTAGTGGCCCACTGAAGCTATGTGACACAGGCGTAAAAGTTACACATCTCTTTTGGTGGTCAATCAGTGTCATAAATTAACCCTGACATCTAGCATAGGCAAGCTTGTGGTATTGGAGAACCTTAAATTCATTTAAAAAACATATACATACAAAAAGGATTTTCCTTTTTGCTATACTGTTTCAAGAAAAGAAAACAGCCAAGGTAGATATCCTTCCTTATTTATATCATCTTCTTTACCTTTCTTCTATAATTCCCTTTTTTCTTTTTTCTTTTTTCTTTTTTTTTTTTTTTTTTTTTTTTTTGTAAAAAATATCTCTTTATTGTCAAAGCCAGTGATTTTCAAGACACCAAAATAGTTGATATTACCAGTTTGTGTTGATAGCCTATATTTCCTAGTAATAAGTAGATATAGTGAACAGCACCAAAATTTGGAAAATATAATTAAAGCAGTAATGTTTGTTCCAGTTCATCCTATACAGATACTCTTTACTAGTAATATCTAAAGAAGAATTAGAAACAAGTGACATGAATGAAATATGTGATAATAATAAGATGCTAAATGGCATTTTTGTTCAAGCTAACAAATTCCAAGATATTTAGGACCCAATGCATACAGCTAAAGAAAAGAAAAGTTACAACAAACCTTTTAGTTTGCAGGTTGACAATCCAGAATGATGAAACATGATCACTGGAAGAAGGATCCAGAACAAGAATGGGGTCCTGCAAAGGTAATGCATATATTCAATATACTATAAGTTCTATATGCCAAAAGTACATGTAGTCAAATAAAAGCATTACCTTTTCCGTAACCCAACCACCTTCAACAAACAATTTAAGATAAATAGGTCTCTGGATATCTGCTGAATATATATGTGCACTCCTGCGAGTAGATATCTTACCCTTGCTCCGTTCAGTGAAGTTCCCTTCTCTTGTTCTTTCCCAAACTGTAAACACAGCTGGACAAGGAAGTCGATTTTCCAACTTCAAAGGAGCATTAACAGAGATCCTCCAATCATAAACAGGTTGATTAAGCTCCGTGTTAAGAACTGATGCGTCTGCACTTACACTAAGCCAGACTTGTTTACTTCCAGAAGCAGGATAACAGCAAATAAGTACATCTTTCTTCTTGAGTTGATTCAACTTGAGAGCAAAATTAGTGGTTTTGGCTTCTTGCTTCCCTTGATCAACAAAAAGCTGGTCCTTTCCACTTGCAAAACTAGAACCAATAGCGACTGCCTGACCCCATTTATATGGGGGTTGAGGATGATCAACAGAAGGGCGCATGCATAAACACTGCTCTGAATCTCTGAATGTACTATCCCACGGTAAAACAGTAGAGGATCCAGGATTAATAGCAGTGAAGCCACTCTTCAAACCAGTTTTTTCTTTATTGGTAAATTGTTGTCTAAGTCGAATCCAACGCCTTCTGCGAACAACATTATTTGAGGATTTTGTACCTGATTTTGAAGAGGTTGGAGGCCATCTTTTAAGACTTTGAAAGTCAGGTCCACAAGCCCAGCCATCCACATCAACAAAATCAGATTTATCAATAGCCCAATTTGATATCCACTGCCATCCATGGTGAAGGGTAGGTTCAAAAATATCCTTCAAAATATAAGGGAAAAAGCCAACATAAGTATGGATGGTTATGAAAGAAACCAAGCAAAGGACGGTGGAAATCAACATTATATAACACCAACCTTTGATGAATATGATAAATCTTTGGTGCTCCAGGGTCCTGGATCATCACTACAAACGCCAGGCAAGTCATTGGACCAACCAGAAAGTGGTTGATAACGTTGATTTTCAAAAATCTCTTCCAGAACAATGTTGTGGCTACCTATACCTAGATCCTGAACCATAGACATGTGACAATTGAAAATATCCAAATTTACATCTGAATCATTTGCAACAGTTGCAAGACCCCTGAAAACAGCATGCTTCTTTCCATTTTTCATGACAACTTCCATTGCAATGAAATCATTTTGTATTGATTTTGGAATCACTGACAATGGAAGCAGTGAGCGAACACCCTCCCATGGACCTTCTGGGCCCAGCCCAACCCAGAAACCTACATCTCTACCACCAGCATTCTTGCTATCAAAATCTCTTTGAAAGTTTGCTGCTGCATTCCTCTCAAAATAAGAAGTGGAAACAAACAGGCATCCACACTCATGCATGTCTTCAACATTTTTGGACTGCAGCAGTAAAGAGAGTATCAAAGAAGAAACAAACTCCTAAACTCCCATTCACCCAGAAAGAAAGTAAAAAGTAATTGCGCCCAGGACACAAAAATCAATAACTCACCCTTTTGCTCAGTGGATAGGAAACAACATCCTGAACATCATTTGGTTGATGCAGTATCCTCGCTGAAGATACCTTCTTTAGAACACTCACACCGTGCCCAACAGGAAATGAGAAAGCACCAACAACCTCTCCTGCTTCATTAAATACAAAATAATGACACTAGAAAAGATGTTCCTGATCAAGTTCATCTCCAGAAACATCACGGAACAGAAAATTTTAATATTTGAAAAGCTCTAGAAGCATATTTTTAGAAACTGCTCAAACAAAATGCTGAAACAGATAGTGAGTGCCTGAGTTTAGCTTTCTTTTTCCTATATTTACAAAAATTACCAACTTATTTATTCTTAAAACTTCACTTGCAATCTCATTGAGCATTTCCAAGTGAACTAAGCACAAGGACAATGCATTCCTTGAAGTGAAAACAAACTAAACAAATGAGTCAAATGGCTTGACACAATGCCAAGCAATGACACAATGCCAAGCAATCACTCAATCAAGAAGTTTAAGCTAATTGACACTTACATATTTCTTAGCAATATTGAAGTCCATCAAAAGAAAAATGTTGATAAATAAGGCATTGAGATGCAAAGAAAACAGCATTGCAAATGAGCCACAAATGAAACATAAAAATAAGGATAATTATTAGGAAGCCAACCGTCTTCTAGACAGATTGAGGCT